CAAGGTCCAAAAAGGACCCTGAACGGCGTCCCAAGATTTTTTAATATACTTCAAGCTGGAGAGTTCGGGTTTGTTTTATTTTAAACTAGACACCTGACTACATCGACTGACCGGCGCCGATTTTTCAATTAAGCCTTTGTTCGTTTTCCAGGCAACCAACAACCTCCGAAACCCGAAAAAGCCTTCCGGATTTTCTAAAAATCCTCAGTTTGACAAAAAACTAACACCTAATTCAAAAATCGACGCCGGTCAGTTGATGTAGTTTCTTTTTCTCTTTAAAACCAAAAAAGAATGAACTCTCTACGACAGACCGCTATTAAAAATCTTGGGACGCCGTTCAGGTGTAACTCTTATATAGTGAAAACGTTGTATTAAACAATGTATGAAATAGTCGATTTTAGGACTTCTAGGAAAATGCCTGTAACTTTTTGACGCAAGGTCATACAGAGTTGTGCGAAGTCTTATTTTGATTAGAAACGTTTGCTCTACAAAACTGTGTTTTCAGAAAAATTTTAATTACATAAGTACCCAGGAAAAAAACATTATTTGAAGACCCATTTTTTCGAGGCTCTTAGAAAACTTGCTCAAAATCCCCGAAAAACCACTTTTGTAACCAAAAGCAATACAGATTCTGGAAGTAGACACTTCAGGCTATCTTTTTATGTGCGTATCTCAAAACCGATTTTTTGACCGAAAATCACCATTTCTGAGGGGGGGCCCTTAATGCAGCCAGGATAAAGTTTGTTTGTTGGTTAAATTTGATTAACTACAGTAGAATTTAAACAGGATTTTTCCATTCTGAAAGAGCTTTCATGAACCAATAACTTTTCTTTCACTCTTTGGTCACACTAATTTACTCACTTGTAGTGTCATTGTTAGAAAGAAAAAGAGTATGACTTTGATGGAAAGAGCAAAAGGGAAAAATCCCATTTCTTTATAAAGTCTATTTCAAGAAACCAACATTTATTTTTTCGTGTAATAAAAGCATGAACACGATTAATGAATATAGATCACGAATATAACAATGATTGACGCAATGTTAAATATAAAACTGTGAATCCAAAGTTCTTGCGTTTCTATCAGAAATATTTCATAAGTATCCCATTATATGTAACTGCTCGATGACGTTTACCTTTTTCCAAATTTTGTAACGATCAGTACACTTCAAAATGCGGCTTGGAATGTGCAACATTTTCGACAAATAAATCGCCATCAGTCGCACGTTCCCAATATGTTTTACCAGATTGAGCTTGGTAACCTTTGGTAAACTTGACGCCACGCGGTACCGCTGGTGTTGGCTCGCCATTTCGATCTTTTTCGCTTTCTTCAACTTCCTTCTTATTATTTTCTAACCACGTTTTGAATTGTGCTGAGAGTTTACATGTAACGACAGTTGTAGCAGTTACACCAAGAACATAAGGAGCTACGTCTTTAACAGCACTAATTACCTCAGAGACTGTAGTTGGATCTTGTACAATTTGCCGAAGTGCGAACATTTATAGGTTCGATTGTTTTGGCTTTTACTTGATTTGAAGTATTTTTGAATAGAATAAATAAGTTTCTTTTTTTTATATAAATGTAGAAAAGAAAATTCCAACTTTGTTATAAAGAAATGGGATTTTTCCCTTTTCCTCTTTCCATCAAAGTCATACTCTTTTTCTTTCTAACAATGACACTACAAGTGAGTAAATTAGTGTGACCAAAGAGTGAAAGAAAAGTTATTGGTTCACGAAAGCTCTTTTAGAATGGAAAAATCCTGTTTAAAAAATTCTACTGTAGTTAATCAAATTTAACCAACAAACAAACTTTATCCTGGCTGCATTAAAACTCACAATACTTTTCTTTTCTCATATTCAGTGTGAAGGTAGTGGAGACGATAAATTAAATACATTATACAGTTACGTTTTATATACTAAAATTACCTTCCTCTCCGGTGATACATCATATTTTTCAAGGAAAGATGTGACGGTTTACATTCAAATTTACATATTGAAAAATTAGATTTACGATTAAATGGCAATAATTTAGAAACATTTATACATGAATATACTGCACGATTAGCTGGCATTCCTCGTTTAGTGGCACTGGATCGAACAAATTATGGTAAGTAATGGGAAAAATTTGTGTCATAAGCTGCAAAAAGTTAGAGAATAAAAGCTTATACACTTTGATTGTAACTATCAATCTTCTATTATATTTCTATTATTCTTACTATCTTTTATTATGATAACTATTCTAATCACGA